AGGAGGAGGAGGAGGAGGAGGAGGAGGAGGAGGAGGAGGAGGAGGAGAAAAGAGACCGCCACACACAGACATGCCAATGGGGCAATCTGATGGAGGCAATTCCTCAACTGAGACTCCTCCCTCTTTCCAGATGACTACAGCTTGTGTCAAGTTAATAAAAAACTAACAAGTGCATGATAGCTACTTTTAAAAAGACAGAAAATAGCTGGTATTAGCAAGAATATTGTTTGGTGGGGGCCTTGCTCTAGCAATGTGTAAAAAAACTAAAAAATGGAACAGCCATGTGATCCAAGCAAGCAATCACATATCTAGGGTATACATTGAAAACAAAACCAAAAGCATTTGGGTATTCATCTCCATGGTAATATTGTTCACAAAAGCCAGGTGACCTTGATGTCTTCCTCTGAGTGAGTAGAGAGAAATGAATCTATACCCTGTTATTTAGTCTTAGGAAGAAAGTCCCAGTGCATTCTGCAGCATGGATGAACTTTAAGGACCATGAACTAAGTAAAATACACACACACACACACACACACATTGAGCTATCTTCCCCTATATCTTAAGGCAGTGGTTCTCAACCTGTGATTCATGACCCCTTAGGGGCTGGATGACCCTTTCACAGGGGTCTCCTAAGACCATCAGAAAACACAGATATTTATATTACAATTCATAACTAGCAAAATTACAGTTATAAAGTAGCACTGAAATAATATTTGTAAAGATTTATTTATTTATGTATGTGAGTACACTGTCAGTGTCTTCAGACATACCAGAAGAGGGCATCATATCTCACCATAGATGGTTGTGAGCCACCATGTGAGTGCTGGGAATTGAACTCAGGACCTCTGGAAAAACAGCCAGTACTTTTAACCACTCAGCCATCTCTCCAGCCCCCAGAACTGAAATAATTTTATGGTTGGGGGTCACTACAACATGAGCAGCTGGATTAAAGGGTTATAGCATTAGGAAGGTTGAGAATCACTACCTTAAGGTATCAAGGGTAGTCAGATTCCTGGCAACAGAGTGGAGTTGTGGCTGCCAGGAACTAGAGAAGAGAGGGAGATGAAGAACTGTCTAAAGGATAGAGTCTCACTTTCAAGGGAAGAAAGTCCTGGAGGTCTGCTTCTGTCTTTTACCACTCTGATTCCTGGGCTGCGGTCTTACAGTGTGTTTATGCATCCTAATTTAAATGACTATAATTTTGTAATATATTTTGAAGTCAGGTAGTATACTGACTCCTGCTTTAAAGGTTTTGCTTGGGACTACCTTGTTTATTTAGGGTTTTGTTATTGCTGTTCCATATACATTTTAGGGTTTTAAATACTTCTTTAAATAATGTTATTAATATTTCCACACACTGACTTTGTGAATCACTTTGAGTAACATGGATTTTTTTTAAAAAAAATATTGATTCTTCTCATCCATGAGCATGGGATTCATTTCCATTTCTTTATATTCATTTTAATTTAATTCTTATACATGAACATGGGATATATCTCCATTTCTTTATGTCTTCTTTAATTTCCTTCATCAAAATCTTACAGTTTTCAATTTTGATCTTTTATTTCTGATTAAATGTACTCACAAGTATTTTTTTCTTACTTTTTATAGCATCTAAAAATAGAATTACTGTTTTGATTCAGCACTGAGCTGTAGCAGTGTTACTGACTTTATGCTGCTTTTGTGTCCTAAAGCTGTTGAATTTATTAGCCCTATTAGTTTTGTGGTAGAGTCCTTCGGGTTCCCTATATATAAGCTCATGTGGTGGTTTGAATATGATTGGTCCACGAAGTAGCACTCTTAGGAAGTGTTGCCTTGTTGCAATAGGTGTGGCCTTGTTGGAGGAAGTGTGTCACTGTGGAGGTGGGCTTTGAGACCCTCCTCCCAGCTGCCTGGAGGAGGACCAAAAGACAGCCCTCTCCTAACTGCTTTTGGATGAATAGCTAGAACCCTTAGCTCCTCTAGCACCATGGCTGCCTGGACACTGCCATGCTTCCTGCCTTGAAGATATTGGACTGAACCTCTGAACCCTGTAAGCCAGTCCCAATTAAATGTTGTCCTTTATAAGAGTTGCCTTGGTCATGGTGTCTGTTCACAGCAATGGAAATCCTAAGACAGATCATGTTACCAGCAACCAGTTACAATTGAGTTCCTCCCTTTCTAATCTAAATGCATTTATCTCCTTCTCTTAGTTAACTCTCTAGCTAGGCTTCCAGCATTATTTTGGGTGGAAATGAGCATCACTGTGTGCTACAGGTCTTAGAAAAGCTTCAGCTGTTCTTCTCAATACAAAATTAATGGTTTCTTGCAGGATATTTGACTACACTGAACCAGAGACTGTGTTGTTTACTGGGAAAACCTGTTCCCAGT